ATGTTTACAACGTTTCAGATGTATTTTCTGCATCCATCATCAGGGCTCAATCTTATACTCACCGCCATGAGAACCTCATTTTCAATATGGAATGAGGTTAGCCCTTTCACACTAACCCAACTGAGTAGATGACCGTTCCCTTTTCGCCAGACGATGGACAAAACCCAAGAAATTATTAATCCGAGTGTAACACACCATCGTTTAAAATTGAGAAATTGTGTGTTTCAATCAAGCTTCGAATTTCCCCACTGTACAGTTTAACTGCTGCTCATTCCATAAGCAGGAACGTACATGAAAAGGCTGTGGCACCGCCAGAGTAATCAACAAACACGAATTTAAATACAAGTACGTTTTTAAAATAGAAGAAAGTAGCTGGCACAGTGCGATGGTCCGTAATGCTCATTGAAGCAATAAGGAACTGATACATAAAACATGTGACACTTCTCACAAAACAAAACCATAGAAAGTTTTGGACTTCAAAAGGTGGTTACGTGGTACAGGAAATGGGCTCTAGGCGTGGCAGTCACTAATGTAACATCCGGGAAGAAATGTCCAACAATATATGAATTATTCTTAATTCTTCGCGTTATGTGAATACGCAATGCCTTAAGCCACCTCTCACTTTACCTTTCCTGAAGGTAAATATTTTAACATCGGTGTTTGCTTTATATAAAACATAAACAAGTTACACAATCATATGCCAGATAATTATTAGCAGTTACTAAGGGAAAAAAAATTCTAGGCATATTGTCACTTAATTTCCTTATTTTTTTTAAAAATCTTCATGGTAAAAATATCAAGACTTCTATAATAATAATTACGAAATTTAGTGATTCATTTCTCTACAGCCTTTCCTCTAGCATAGATTCCTACTATATTACATTTTCCATAAACTCTCATAATCTCAAAGTTTCGCTATCTTTAGGATTCTTGTAATTGGTGACACGGAAACAATATTTCACACAAAATGTCAGGACCCTACATGAACTCTCATTAGTGTTGCTACAACATCACATTCTGACATTATGACATGGCATATTGGCATTAATGACAGTAGCGCACGAAGAGTGGAAAGGTTAGGTTAGCATCCAGTCATTTGATGTTCGTAACAAGTTCTATGAACATTTGTGGGTGGAGGACGAGAAACAGGGTGGGATACGATAACTCGCCTGTCTTTCTTTTTAATATACGTATAAATATAAATGCCAATAAGCGAGCGAATGAATCCACCCACATACACAGTTTTAACGTGACTATGTTATTTTTAATAAAAATCGATTGGGGAAGTATTTGTAAATACGATATATATAGTAGTAAACGAAGTCGGATGAAACTACCAGGACATGTAACAAACATGTGGTAACAGGACACATACGCAGTTTTTACATTTAATCTTCAAATGAGAGAGATACTTAGACGGAAACAGGAAGATAATTTTAAAACATCCCACATAAAGAAATGATTAATACAACTACTTAGCGTCAGTAGAATGCAGACAACACACGAACATCAGATACATTTTAATATTATTAACTTATTCACGCCTGGGTACCTATCCATAGAGGATTTCCCTTCAACGTTTTTTTTTTTACTAAAATTTGGTATGACAAATCTAACAGTGCGAAATTTAAAAATCATTCCAGCAATATATTTATTTGTCAATAATACAGCGTACCATTTTATCCAGCCATGTCATTTTATGCTCTCCCCTACCCATGTAACATTAAAGGCAAAACACGTAGGAATGTAAACTCCTGAAACGTCGAAAGAACAGACAACGCGTAAGGTTAAAATAAAATAGAATAATATTTTAGAACATAATGTGTGCATACAGTTGAATTTAACGATAAATGTATAAATAAGGAAAAGTGGAAACTCCTGAGGAGATTCACCTGTATTTATTTTGAAGCTTCAAAAATACGATTCTTTTGAATTTCTCTTTTAAAATCTCTTACATTCCGCAAAGTGATTAAACAGTCAGCCAATAAAAACTACTTTAAAAATCTCGTAATCTAAATTATTAAAAACGGTAACTCGTTCGCATAGACAGCGTACAGTAATACCACCGTATCCTTTCATTTTACAGTCACGCTTCTGTTTTGGTGTTCAAATAAGGAGGGAGGGAGTATATGTGTCCCCAGGGCTTACACACCTTGGCTAACTGGTCTACTATACTTTACAACTTCCGGTTACAACAAAAAAAAACTGTATCTCCTCGAAAGTGACCTAAGTATTCAGCAAGGTTATGTGAAATATAACTGGGAAGACGCTAAGACGTCATAAAATAGATACGATTATTAAACAAAACATTTATTCGAATGTTTAGATCGTAAAACACGGTCTGTAAGTCTTCTTACCTTACCGGATCGAAACTCAACCGGTGCACCTAAATGTTATTAAAGGTTTTGCTAAATACTTCTAGGCAAACGCGTTAAAATAGGTCACTATAATTTCATTCTGTAAAGTAAAGTAAAGTTTGTCCCACTATACGCCATGTAGGCGTTTGGGGGGAGTGGAGGTATAGCTCCTCTCTTCCTTGACCTCGGCACTAGATGGGGGTGAGTGGTCAGCATCACGCCCCGGTCGGCTTTACCCCCGGGAATGGACCCCGGTACCCATTGGATAGGAGGCTGGGTGGGCCCC